GATTTATTCAAAATATCGTAAAAAATCACGTGTGCGTGAGCAATTGTTCACGCCGATCACTTTTGCAAGAAAAAATTATCGATTATATGTATCTATACATTGAAATAAATCCCATGATATACATGCAAAAAGTAAACGTGATTATGTATGCAAATTGAGCACCAGGGCCCAGATTTATTGATAAACTTTGATTTTGATTACGTGTGCAAAGAGAATTCCATATTCATGACTAGTTACGATTCCACGCATTAATATAAAAAAAAAACTATTATTTTTGACCATCCAGACTAGATATTTGCTTTATTTTCACAATCATCTGAGCAACTGGTTAATTTGTGGAGAGTCGGGAAATTCGCTCATAAATTTCATTTGTCCGGGTGGCGTGAATGGTTGCTTGCGTCTTTTAAAATCCTTGGCTAGTTTGTTAACTCGTCTCTGTAAATGAAAAATTTTGTTATAAATCTCAAAATGAAATGTACATCATGCCAATGAACGACTTGAAATTGATCTTGAAAATGTCACAAAGCAGCTGGAGATGATACCTTTGTATGAGGTATGTAACGAGTTGAATTTTGATTCCTGTTCCTTTGCCAATTTTAATATTATTTATATGCTCCAGTGGAAAGTTGGAGACATAAACATTACACAGAGATTTCGTCAGTACCAACAAAAGGTGATTGATAAAGTGAAAAGTGATTGATTAACGTGGAACGACACATACGAGATTCTGTAGGTATCACATCACAAGTCAGAAATAAAAATTACATTCTTACTGAATTTATCATTTACAACTGTACCTCAGAGCATTGGCGTCGATTATTATTCTTGCACGCCCATGCCCTTATCTGGATTTCACTGAAACAGAATGGTATACAATAACTCAAGCAAAACCGTTTGTGATCGAACAGCCCATCATACCATCAGCAATATCTACTACTTTTCAAGAAGCAATAAGAAAGCACTTAATGGATGATGATAGTTACATTTACGCTGATAGTACAGAATTGAGTAGGGCCGCAGCTTCTACGTTTAATGAGTTGTAAGTTGATCTCTGCTTAGCTCTGGGAAGAAGATCAAAAGACTAATTATAATCGTTTTATATTTTAATAATATTAACATACTTTAGTCGCAATCTCCCTACACTTTCTCCGTCCAAAATGTCTGAGGAATTGCATTGCTGCAATCTATTGTATCCCCATGTGCGTCCTATATTCAGCCAATCTCCTAGAGAATATGGTATCCAATTAAATCGTGCTGTCAAAGGCACTAGAAAAAGACCCGATTTCACGTGTGTGGTTGACAAAATACCGGTTCTTGTCTCCGAATTTAAACCGCTTGGATGTACACCGCTTCTGGAAAAGAAAGATTTCGTGAAAGCACATTTGAGGGCTAAGAAATCATTAAATCAACAATCGAATTTTAAGGATGGTCCCGGTGAAGTAGGGCTATTTATAAACACGGGTACATGTATATAAGTTGGACTGTTGGTCTTTTCATATATATATATATGCTTGCTAAATTTGACACATTTACATTACCTAGGCGATATAGTTAGATCCTTTTTTATGGATCTTAAATACGGATTTTACTGCTCATGGTCTTTCCATACAACTAAACTGGCAGTTGATAAGGCCTCAATGCCATTGGTAGAATCAACTTTCAGCCACTTCGTCGCATTAGAGGTATATATGTATATATCGTTTCAATTGGCATGATGTACATTTCATTTTGAGATTTATAACAAAATTTTTCATTTACAGAGACGAGTTAACAAACTAGCCAAGGATTTTAAAAGACGCAAGCAACCATTCACGCCACCCGGACAAATGAAATTTATGAGCGAATTTCCCGACTCTCCACAAATTAACCAGTTGCTCAGATGATTGTGAAAATAAAGCAAATATCTAGTCTGGATGGTCAAAAATAATAGTTTTTTTTTTATATTAATGCGTGGAATCGTAACTAGTCATGAATATGGAATTCTCTTTGCACACGTAATCAAAATCAAAGTTTATCAATAAATCTGGGCCCTGGTGCTCAATTTGCATACATAATCACGTTTACTTTTTGCATGTATATCATGGGATTTATTTCAATGTATAGATACATATAATCGATAATTTTTTCTTGCAAAAGTGATCGGCGTGAACAAGTGTTCATGCGCACGTGATATTTTTACGATATTTTGAATAAATCTATTTCTTATATAAAAAAATATTAGTGAACATGGAAGCCGAATTGGATTTATTAAGACAGTGAATGCTAAACTCGAGATCGAAAATACTAGATTAAAACAAATCATAAAGCAAAATCAGCCCATCGCTCCACAGACTCCACAAACGCCTATACATTGCCAATTAATTGCCATTCTAATGAGGATGATACCATTGACTCCGTAAATCTAGATCAGACACAGGTACAAGATTCCATTTCTCCCGAAGTTAATTCTAATAATATCTTTGAACAGATAGTCAATATATCTTTTGATAACACGCCAAATTCTAAAGATAAGAGATCAATGATTTTCTGGATCGAAAAGTAAAAGAAAAAGTTAGTAATATGATGAGAGATATAAACATGAAAAAGAAACTATTACGAAGTAACGAAGATTCCGCTTCTCGAACTCAAGAATCAATACAAAAAGGACCTCACTCTTCTGATAATCCTACAGCTGAGGCACAAAGTACTGTTTCTTCCGAAATAGTAGAAGCTAGTACAACAGTGCCAGACACGAAGTGCAATTTCCCTGAAATAAAAATCCCTATAATCAAAAATAGAACAAGGTTTAATGCGTGAATTATCTATGTTTATTAACGAGAAAAGCCTTTCGAATTCTATATCTGATAAACGAATTACTGAAAATATGCTAGACTGGGATGGCCTGGCTCTGAGTTCTGCACTACGTCTAGCTCATTTATTTGAAAAGGCTAAAAAAACCGGTCAGAAAGAAATTTTACGTTGGTATTATTATAGTGAGGAATTCGAAAAAAAGGTTAGAGATATTAGTTCAAAAAACAATATTAATGATCAAATGGCAAGAACTCGGATTTATGATGAAATGGAACCGTATCTTCCTGGTGTTAAGAGAGAATATTTGCGTAAAATAACCCAAAAAGCTAAAAACATCTATACATTATTTAAAGGGATAGGAATAAATAAAATTGAACATTACGTATAGTGCTGATGCAATTTCTAGACTAACAGATGCACAAATTCAAAATATTATAAATCGTTTCCCTAAAAAGAACACACGCGTGATTGAACATCTATATAGCAATGTGCTGAAAATTATAAATGACAATGGGCTAGTACTGGTAATAAGTAACTTTTATATTCACAAAAATTATGGTCAAAGTTGGCTAATATTATTTATGCTATAGAAAAATTTAAAAATTTAGAAGAATTAAAAATCAAAGTCAGCACAGATTGCAGATCCCCAAGAATTTTTGTAAGGTTCATATTATATGTTTATTTTATCCATATCCACCGATTTTTGCAACATTTTAGGGCACATTTATAAAAATTTCTAAGGGGTTACTATATAGAATTAGAAGCTAATTTCGCCCCCTTTTTTTTTGCTAAATCTACATATTAATATTAATATGCGCCATTATAATTTCACTTCTGTTTAGATTTTTAAATTTTATTAAAATAATAATAATTTGATACAAAGATCATTTTAATGTCAAAGAAAAAATCAATAATAATCAATGTTCAATTTCTTTTGTTTGTTTTGCATTCATTCATTATTTAGGAAATGTTGTAGTATATACACTACCTAGAAAAAAGTATTTGGACATCTATTTACATTAATTACCCAAAAACATACATAATAACTATACATAAAATTTATATCATTTTATAGCTTAGGTTTTGAGGAATATTCATATAAAATTTTATTTTTTCAACTTATGTGAAACTTTAATAAATAAAAAAACTCGAACTTCAATTGAAAATTTTTTGAACAAAAAATTGTTTATCAAAATGCTCAAAAACCCACATAATTATTATGCATAAAATTTATATTATATTAAACCCTTAAAATCGGAGAGTATCTATGCAAAACATCACTTTTCTATTATGTTTAGTAGTACCTTATCAAATAAAAAGCCAACATGATCTAAAATGATGATCTGCAATCTTTGTTTTAAAAAATATAGAATTGACAAAATTAGAACAAGGAAAATTTTGGGTCTCCATGCTAGCAGTAAAAGTATTCATGAGATATCTAGGATGATTAAAATCCCTAAAAGCACAGTTCAATATACTATAGCATGTTATTCTAATTCTGACAATATGAAAAGTGCATCAAGGAGTGGAAGACCCAAATCTTTAAATAAAAAAAAAATTGTTGATAAAAATAATTCAATTCTCTAGATAAGATACAAAGAAAGTTTATTAAAAAAAGTGGTGTTGAGGTTTCCACAAGAACAATCCAAAAGAATCTTCATGATCTTGGAATTTATTCACAGACTGCAGCAGTAAAACCTCTTTTAACTGATGAACAAAGAATAAAAAGATTAAATTGGTGTCTAGGAAAAAGAAATTGGAGTGTTGCAAAATGGAAATCTGTGATATGGAGTGATGAATCTCGATTTACTGTATTTGATAATGATGGACCAATGCATGTTTGGTGAAGAGATGGGACTCAGTATAATATTAAAAAATTGGTTCCATCTGTAAAGCATGGTGGTGGTGGAGTAATGGTTTGGGTGTGTTTTTCTGGAAAGGGATTGGGTCCTTTGGTGAAGGTTGATGGGAAAATGATTCATTTCAGTTATATTCAGATTTTAGAAAAGAACTTGTTACAATTAATAGAGAGGGATTTTGATGGAAGTGGTTATTTTTTTTCAAGACAATAATGCACCAGTTTACACAGCCAATGATGTTCAAATTTGGATTCAAACAAACAAAGTAAAAATATTAAAAGAATGACCATCTCAATCACCTGATCTTAACCCAATTGAACATCTCTGAAGTGAGCTGGAAAGGAGATTAAAAAATTGAAAAAATCATCCAAAAAATGCAAGTGAACTGGAAATTGCACTGAAAGAATAATGGCAGCAAATTCCTTATGAAAAATTACATACACTCATTGAAAGCATGCCAAAAAGAATTAAAGCATACATTTCTAATGAAGGATGGCTAACTGAATATTACTTTTTTTTTTGTTCCTCAACTTTTTGATTTAATTTTGATTTCAATCAAAAAATTTTTTTCCATTTTGATCATCAAATTCATATTTTTTATTTATTAAAGTTTCACATAAGTTGAAAAAATAAAATTTTACATGAATATTCTTCAAAACCTAAGCTATAAAATGATATAAATTTTATGTATGTTTTTGGGTAATTAATGTAAATAGGTGTCCAAATACTTTTTTCCAGGTAGTGTATATACAGAATATACTGTCATCTTATCTCAAATTAAAATCCCTATTTTAAATTGTGGTTTTTATTTATTTATTTTCCTAATACTACATACAGTA